GTCTGTTGTATGGCTTGTAGTGCTGGGTACTGAACCCAGAGCCTTCACACTGAGCTACATTCCAGGCCCTTCTTCTTTCTCTTTTGTCTCACCAACTCACAAGCTGAGGCAAATTTGTAGTCCTCCTGCTCAGCCTCCCAGGGTGCAGGGATTAGAGGAATGTTTTGCCATGCCCAGCTATGACACAACTTTTAATTGACCATCCTGGTCATGGAAGTGGCAGTACAGGGACACATCTACAAGCTCCCATGGAGTTATCATCCTTAACCCACAGGCTAGTGAGGGCTGCCCTTTTATCAACTATGTCCTCCCAGAATATAAAATCAGAGGATGGAAAAATTACCTTTAGGCAGATCCGTGGCCACTGTGGACACACCGTGGGCCCGAGTGACCCGAATGCCATTTTCTACCTTTACCCAATGCCCTGGTCTGATGGGGGCAAGGCCTGAAGCCACCTTGGGTTTTATGCAGCATCAGTTCTGACTTTGGTGACTGGCGACAGGGTATCCTCCACTCATGGACAGCATCCCTGTCTAAGTGGCTGAAGGTCCTCTGGGGACAGCATTGCCACGGATGCTACAGTACTTCAGGGAAACCTGAGACCTCCTGACTCCAGAAACTAGGTAAGGGGCAGTGACCTGAGCCCGTGCACATCCAGCCCTGGTTTCCTCTAATGACACAGATTAAGCAGTGTCCTCTATGGTTAACCACTGACTGACACCATGTTGGGTTAACCACACCTAACACTCTGTTATTGCCGCAAACATGCTTACCAAGTGCAGGCAGCAACCTTGACCGATTCTCCACGGCACTTCATCCCTCTCACTAGACTGTGATCTGGGCGACTGGCTGAACTCAACCAAGATGCCAGTGGCCTCCCAGGTCACAGATTTGGGGTCCAGGTTGGTGCCTCTGTGGAGGGGTGTCTGTGGGGATCTTGCTGAGGCCTCCAAATGTTGCAGCAAAGGTGCTTATTTAATTGAGTCACCCTTGGAAGCTGGATGCAGAGACAAGCAAGTCTACCACGGGGCTGGTGGTGGGCACCTGGTACATAGCCGAGCACTGACCCCAGAGGGCAAAATGGGAGAACAGTTACACAGTTTCGGTTTCCAGTCTAGTTCTGGATCCTACCTGGCATGTGGTGCTGTGTGATTTAGTGCAGCCACAGAAATACTACAAAGCATAGGCTCAACCTGTCACAGAGGAACAAAGGTGTTTCACAATTTACATAGCGAACAAGTGGCTTTATGACAAAACATGGGGTGGTGTCAGGTTAGGTAGCTAGGACAACAGTTACAAGAAACCAATGTAAGGAAACAGAAACTTAAGCTTCAAAATAACACTAGAACACACAATGGCATTGGTTTAGTTTTCCTTTCCCTACTATTGTCCCCTCAAGGACACTCTCCTCTTAAGCTGGAGAAATGTCCTTAAGTTTATCTACAGAGATTGATACCCAAGATTTCTACCAACACCAGATGGTGTACCTGGTCCAGTCTAGCTTGAAGTTTCACTGTCATACAGTTGACCAGGCAGGGCCCAATTATAAGTAAGAGTATATGTGGAGGACCACCTAGGCAACTCTCCTTAAAAAAAGAACATTTGTCTCCATTTTGGCTGTACCTGACCTTATTTCCATGTATTGATACATACAGAGCTGGCTAGGACTCTTCCTTATCCCTTAAATTGACTTTAAGCAATGCATATAGGTCTAGCCAAGTGCTGGTGGTCGTCTTTGAAGACAGTTCACGTGTTTGCCTGGCAACCCTCACTGCTGCTTTTTAATATGAGCTGGGTTGAAACTGGATGAAGATCCAATGATTCCACTCTGTCAGCTGGGATCAAGCCTTGAGATAGAGGCTATGACTTCCTGGAGCTTGAAAATTACACATCAGAGATGAAGCACTGAACTCCAAAACATTAGATACTACCTTAACTGTATGATGCAGATTACTCTCTGTATATCCTTCTCTTTGCATACTGCAGAGGGAAATATGGGCCTCCTACCTAGCCTAGCTCACAGTAATCACCTGCTTCCTGCCATACTCAGTCACTCCTCCTCAAGCCCCTCCTCTTTCATGACTGAATAAAACCTGGGTTTGGTCCCGCATTGAGTCCTTTGTTCTGGGTAGCCATCACCATGGCTGGACTTAGGACCCCTTGGCTCCCCATAACTACAAATATGATTTTGTGTCTTTATTCTCACCATGGGTTGCACTGGAAAGGGTAGATTGGTATTAACTCGATGGAATTCCAATAACTTGTCCTTGAGATTACAAATATAAACTTCCCAGACCTAGATGAGGACCAGGAAGGGCTCTCTATATCCCTCCAATGGCCAAGTCACAGGAAACTTATATACCAGTTCTGTGGTGTCCAACCTGAGCAAAGGCCCAGCCAGACTTATCAGTAGAAAGTTAGCCAGGGATTTTAATTGTATATCTGGACAGACCACCCTTGGGCTTTAATTAATGTATTTATTATTGTTGTTGAGGTGCTCAGAGATAGCCAAAGATTTTTTTGATGATTTTTTACTTATTGGGATTTTTAAAATGAAATCCCAGTGGGGTTGCAGGTGGTGAGGGTCCAGATATGAATTGGGACGGATGTGGGCAAACTGTCCTGAAGCCCAAGACTTGACTTACAGGGGAGCAAATTGAGGCCCAGATGATGTTATGAACAGTAATACACATTTCTGGGTCATCTCTGGACAAATAAAGTGAACCCATCTGTGGATTCACAGCTGTTGGCCTGGTCTCCTGGGCAAAAATGAATCCCAATCAGATTTATCTTATCTGTTTAACTTTCTGTTAGGGCCTCACAGGCTGGAAAGACTCTTCGATCCTTGTATGAGTCAGTGAATCTTAAGGAGTGTCAACCTTCCCAGCCAAATAGTCTCATTTAGAATCACTCCCTCCAACGGCCGAGTCACAGGGAACTTATATACCAGTTCTGTGGTGTCCAACCTGATCAAAAGCCAGAAGAGGAACAGCAAAATGGTGACACAGATGGTCAGCTTATACTGGTGTTGTCTCTCTCTCATGCAATTGATGCATTCTATAGGGAGGAGACGCTGTCTTGGTGCTTGGTGGGGTCAGCTCACCAGACAGCGTTGGTCTGGTTCCAATCCATTGTTTGACATAAGATTGATAAATCCACAGAGCAAGCCCTGAAACCTTAGGAACAGTTGAAGTGGTTAGTATGCATTGGACCTTCCCAACCTGGGCTGGAGAGGTTTGGCCACGCAGCCCTTGACCAGGACATGGTCCCCAGTTTGGAAAGGATGCAAAGGTATGTGCAAGGGATTGGGTGATGCTCCGGCACTAGCTGTCGCAGTTCCTCAAAGACCCAATGAAGTGCCTTTAAGAGACAACCAAGGTCAGTTGACACAGCTTTTTGGAGTCCTTTTCTCACAGACACCAATGAAGAAGGCCGTAGAAACAAGATCTGGAAGTATGTGAGGCCATTTGGGTACATTGTGTGCCAGGATCACAGGAGGGCCATCAGCAATACCGCTATCCAAGTTGCACCCATCTCCTGACAGAGCTTAGCCAAGATGGACTGAGGGTGCAATTTTGTATCTCTACCTGCCCAGAGATCTGGGGCAGTAAGCTTTGTGGAGTTTTTATTCCATGTAGAGCTAAGGTCAGGTCGTGGACTACTGTATCCATGATGTTGGCCCATTATCTGACCCAGTGTCACAGGGAATTCATATCAGGGACAGTCAATTCCACAAAAGCCTTGGTTATTTCT